CATTGCTCAAGCATTTCCAACTGCTTTTGAAGCAGTTATGTTGGCGTTGACGAGGAGAATAGAGTCAAGGATGCATGGGGCTGAAGAGCCATCCCAGGATACGAAGAGAAACTTGGCTTCGATCAATCTTGTGAGATGACATTGTCAGGGGCACTTTCATTTCGTTGGTCGATCTCACCAGATGAGCACGGATGAGACTCGTTGTACTGCAGCCATGAAATCAAGCTCATATCTCGCAAAACGTGCTGGCAAAGTAAATCCAATTTGGTACGTGCTATAGTATTCAGTGTTGGAAGTAATTCGATAGACCTTTTTAATAATACAAGCTATGATCGTCGTGTCAAGTAGGGTCTATCATGCACTGTTTCATTATTGAGCTAAAAATGTCACAAAACCGGCCCTTTAGCACAATTTTATTTTATTTTATTGGGCTACTCATTTATGAGTCCTTTTGTCAAATGTTGGGCTAAAATTTATCAAGGATTGCATGCGTATTTATATCCTTAAAATAGTGGATCATACATCTATGACTTTATAATCAAAATCAAGAGGTATTTATTATGACGATGGATATGACCAATTGCTAGTAAAATAACATTCAGTCAAGTAGATTTTTTTCAAGAATAAAGAACCCTTTTACTACCAAGTAATGATTAGTCTATCATAACATCGAATAGGTTTCATTCTTGTAAGAGTCTCACGTTAACACTAAAGCAAGAATGTGAGACTGTTACAAGAATGACACCCAGCTGTGATGATGTCCATCGAATGATGGACGAAAGCTGAGCACGTTTTCACCCGAAACGAGGCAAGAAGTCTCATGGACTGCGTCAACATGAACATCGTCGTCTCTTCTTCATGAACTGTCATTCGAGGTGAAGGTGCCCCTAACAATGAACGGATAAGAAAAGGGTTGAGCTCTACTGAAACATTCATGCTGACGCTGTTTCCAAGCCAATCTCCTTCGGGTCCGGTGAAAAGGTGCTAAGCTTGTGTCCGTCGCATGATGGATATCATCAGAGCGAGGTAGCATCGTCACAACCAAATTCAAACTGACGAGTCAAGAAAACTGGCAGTCAGCATGAATCTTTCAGTAGAGCGACAATCGAATCTGTTCAACCAAATCTTCCACTCGAAATGGAAGTATGAAACAAGAGATTCCTCGAAACGCAACTTTGCGAAACCCAATCTGTAGACGCGAGGTCATCCCAACAGCCTAAGTGCTGCAGGCCTAATTGGGGTATGAGCAGTTTTGGAGATTATCAGAAATTCTCGCATAAGCTGCCCAGCTCAGGTGACTAGGCGGCCTAGTTCTGGCAGGAAATGTGAGACTTTCTTTTCGCAGATTGGCCTAAACGAGACCACCTTGTCCAGACTCGTTTGTTTTGGCCGCGGGGCCATGTGGTACCCTCCAATCGAGGTTGGAAATTGTCGTTGTTATGACTACTTTCATTTGGTATGCAAGTCGATTGTGGCAAATGTTGGTGGCTCGATCTGGCCAGTTGGAGATGGTCAGAGCTGCCGTTCATTCTTGCAAAAGCCGCCAAATGGTTGAAGTAGGACGCAAATCAGCCGAGCCTTTCCATGTTCAAGTAAAGTCTTTACAAACAATCTCACGCCAGGAGACGCTGCGAGACGCGCACTTTCTCGTGACGTGTGTAAATCTGGCTCTCCAAATTGTGAAGACGAGCTAGAAGGAGGAAAGCAGACCGAGACGACAGTAAAGTTGGAAGCAACTTGACCTGACCAAGTGCCTATTCCACAATCGCTGATGTGCCAAAATGGAGTTACGTTGTGCCTCGGCCTCGTCGTCATGACAGCCGCAAGTCGGTACAGACTCGCCTCGTGGATGGTCGAACGATGTGGGCGAGTTGGAAGTGACGCGATTGTGCAGGGAACGCGGCCAACTTTGCTCGGTCGGACGGTTGCTAAAGCGACTGGCCACTCACGCCAACGTGTGATGCATGATTTGTGTGAAAGGTGTGATTTGGCGAAAGGATGCTAGCAGAGCGTGGGTGAACTGAACGATTTCTGTTTACTTCACTCGCCTTTCGAGACAACCACGAGGCAACCATGCGAGGCTGCTTGCAGACAGCCCGTTTTGGTTGCTGTTGCGCACCCTTTGCGCCGATGTTGTCACACGCTCTTCTGCCACAGTCGGCACGACAACGACCAGTTGACACAGTGTGCCCATCGCGTCGGCTGTGAACGGAAAGAGCGAATTGCCAGAACCGGCGTGGAGCGCGTTTCTAGGCGACCGGAATGCAGACATCCACTGCATCGGCTGCAAATCAGTCCGTTGCTCAGCCTCGGGCGACGGTGTATGGCTGGAGGCGTTGTCGCGATTGCAGACCGGTCTCGTTCAGTTCGAGTGAAAGAGTGAAAGAGTGACAAACGCATCGAGCCTATTCAAGACACTTTCGCACACAAAACACTTGCCATTGTCGGAAGAGGTTGTCTCGTCCGGAGCCCGAACGAGAGAGACGACCAACCGAAAGAGGGCTCGAGACCAGCCCAGAGGAGATGAGCCTAATTGGTGCGGGGTGGTTACGTAAAACGACGACGCGTGGGAAAAGTAAAAGAGTCGTCAAGACAAAGCGGACGGAAAAGTAGAATCGAAAGAGGCGGCAGAAGAGTAAAAAGGGAAAAGTGGCAAAAGCGGGCAAAGAAGAAGAGAGAATGTGAATAAAAGCAAAGAAGAAGAAAAGGGAAATAAAAGAGTCGTTTAAGACAAGAGAGGATAGACAAAGTGGACGGAAAAGAAGAATAAAAAGCAAAGAGTGGCAAAAGCGGTAAAAGAAGAAGGGAGAATGTGAATAAAAGCAAAGAAGAAAAGGGAAATAAAAGAGTCGTTTAAGACAAGAGAGGATAGACAAAGTGGACGGAAAAGAAGAA